GAATGATGAAGATTTGTCAGATATGGGCTTGTAGATGCTATCCAAGGGTGACTCTTGACAGAAAATGGACTAAGCTTGAACTCGATTTCAATTGGAAAAGAATAAGAATAAATCTTTGGAGCGACTTATCTGAACCAGAAGAAGTCTTGTATGTTGTTTGATTGGGAAGAATCAGAATAAATCTTGGAGCGATTTATCTGAACCAGAAGTGTTCCTTTGGAAAGTATCAGGATAAACCATTGAGGGGTTTAAACTGAACCAAAAGAGATCTTGAATACTCTTTAACTGGAAAGAATCAGAGTAAATCTTTGAGCGATTTATCTGAACTAGAGAAAGTGTCTGCGGGAAAGAATCAGAATAAATCGTTGAGAGATTTATCTGAACCCGAAGTGTTCCTTTGGAAAGTATCAAGATAAACCGTTGAGGGGTTTAAACTGAACCAAAAGAGATCTTGAATGTTCTTTAACTGGAAAGAATCAGAGTAAATCTTTGAGTGATTTATCTGAACCAGAGAAAGCGTCTACAGGAAAGAATTAGAATAAACCGTTGAGAGGTTTATCTGAACACGAAGTGTTCCTTTGGAAAGCATCAGAATAAACCGTTGAGGGGTTTAAACTGAACCAATAGAGATCTTGAATTTTCTTTAACTGGAAATAATCAGAGTAAATCTTTGAGCGATTTATCTGAACCAGAGAAAGCGTTTGCGGGAAAGAATCAGAACAAACCGTTGAGATATTTAAACTGAACCGGCAGGGATTTGGAGAAGAATCTGAACAAATCATTGAAATATTTATATGAACCAGAAAAGACATATGCCGGAAAGAATCATAATAAATCATTGAGAGATTTAAACTGAACCGGCAGGGGTCTGAAAGAAATATCTGTTATGTAGATGGTTGATCAGTCCTTTCTTGGGAATTGATCTGTAATTGACTTGCTGAAAATTTGACGATAATTTTCTGTTGATTGATCTTTCCTGAAAAAGATGAAAGGTTAGTTGTATGCAATGTCATGATGTATGAAATGCATGGTGAAATGTTGATTGATCTTTCCTGAAAAAGATGAAAGGTTAGTTGTATCCATTCATCGATTGACTTGTGATCTATCTTGTACGGTGACTTATGATCAAAATTGTTGCATAATATAGAACCTTCTAACGTAGAAGAAGATTGAATTCAGTAGCATGTGTGAAGGTGTCTATCGGTTGACAAAGCCATCTCAACATGGATTCATAGGGGCAACTAAGAAATATTTAACAACTTTATGGCACACTAGAATGGAACACCCTTCTCCTCGAGCTTTACAACAAATTTAGCATCACCTCAACTATAATTTTGATTCACAGAAATCCGTTTGTTGTGACATATGTCATAAAGCAAAACAATGTAGAAACTCATTTCCTTCTAGTAATACTAAAGCCACTACAGCTTTTGATTTAATTAATTGTAACCTTTGGGGAAAATACAATATGGTTTCCCATAATGGAGCACAATATTTACTCACCATTATTGATGATTACACTAGAGGCTCTTGGGTGTATCTAATGAAATCAAAAACTGAAACAATGTACCACTTGATCAATTTTTGTAATTTTATCAAGCGTCAATTCAACAAAACGGTCAAGCGAATACACAATGACAATGGTACAAAAAATTTTAATTCCAAATTCTTATATTTCATTCACCAAGAGGCCATAATTCATGAAACCTCTTGTGCCTATACACCACAGCAAAACGGACGAGTGAAACATAAACATAGACATATATTAAATATAGCGCGAGCTTTACGCTTCAAAGAAAACTTTCCACTACATTTTTGGGGTGATTGTGTTTAAACTGCAGCATACTTAATCAATAGAACACCTACTATTGCTAATCAAGGCCTCACCCCTTATGAGTTCATTTTAGAAAAGGCCCCACAATATGACCATCTATGCAACTTTGTGTGTTTATGCTACTAGATAAATTTGATCAAAGAGCCGACAAATGCTTATTCATTGGATATTAACAAGGCCAAAAAGGATGGAAATTTTATAACCTCCAAACTCATACCTTCCATACATCGGGAGACCTCTTCTTCTATGAGGATACTTACCCCTTCTTTCAAGCATCTAACCTACCTCCCAACCACACTAACAAAAATACTGCAGAATACTACAATGATAATGAAGAACTAAAAATTGAAACCATCCCATCACTTGCAACCACTTCTCCTATAATTGCACAAGAAACTCCCACTACATCGAACAACCTTGACACTCATGATGTTGACATATTGCATTAAGACCATGCTAACAATACACTAGAATCCCCTACCAACACATGTGAACCTGTTGAGCGCAATACGCCTAATCTAGCTTTAGCTCCAAACACTTCATCCAACAATGAAGATGAGTCAATTGAGGGGGGCATAATGAGGAACATGACAATGCTGGAATAAAGTTGCCACCAAGAATACAACATCCCCCAACACATCTCAACAATTTCTATTGCTACAATGTGAACTTAAATATTAAACACCCCATTTCAAACTTTGTCCACTATGATACTTTATCCCAGACTCACAAAGCTTACCTTGCAGTAATTAGTAACACTGCAGAACCTATGTCATACACTCAAGCGAGTAAACTACAAGTATAGAAAGATACCATGGCTTAAGAACTTCAAGCATTGAAGGCCAATCAAACTTGGTAACTAACCACTCTACCACCTAGGAACAAGTTAATAGGTTGTCAGTGGGTGTACAAGATTAAACACAAAGCCACATGAAAAATTGAGAAACACAAAGCTCGATTAGTTGCAAAAGGATTCACTCAAATAGAAGGAGAGGACTTTAATGAAACTTTTGCGCCCGTTGCTAAGATGAAAATCATTCGATGCTTATTGACTGTTGATGCAACCAAATGATGGATCCTACATCAAATGGATGTTATCAATGCCTTCCTTCAATGTGATTTTAATGAAGATGTCTATATGAAACTCCCACAAGGCTATAAAACTACGCATCCTAGCATGGTTTGTCGGTTGAAGAAGTCCTTGTGCGAGTTACACCAAGCCTCTCGTAACTAGTATTCCAAACTATCCAAATCACTGATTGACTATGGTTTTTTCAAGGAGAGTCATACTGATCATAGTCTCTTCACGTACACCAAACCATCTATTTTCATAGTTGTCCTAGTTTACGTGGATGATTAAATCATCGCTAGAAACCATGAAGAAGCCCGTGCTAAATTTAAACAATACTTAAGCCAATGCTTCCATATGAAAGACCTTGGCAAACTTAAATATTTCCTCGGTATCGAACTAGCACATGGCCAGAAGGCTTATTTCTTTGTCAACAAAAATATACACTTGAAATCCTCAGTGAATGTGGCATGCTTGGTTTCAAGCCTTCATCGTTCCATATGGAGGCCAATCACAAACTCGCTTTGGATAATTGACCACCATACTCCGATTCGTTAAAATATAGACGACTAACTGACCATCTTATCTACCTCACTATCACAAGGCTAGAATTAACATACTCAGTTCATGTGTTTAGCCAGTTTATGCAAACACCCCTTCAAGAACATTGAGACGCATCCATGAGAGTCCTTTGATACCTTAAATCCTATCAGGGTCAAGGCACCGTCTTACCTAGGCACAATATTATGCAACTAGTTGCCTTTTGTGATTCGAATTGGGCATTCTGTCCCATAACACGAAAATCCACCTCGGGTTATTTGATGAAACTTGGAAACATTCCAATTTCATGGAAAACAAAGAAACAAGTCACCATTTCATGATCTTCTAGTGAAGTTGAATATAGAGTAATGACACATGCTACAAGTGAAATTATTTGGCTACACAATCTACTCCATACTCTTCAAGTTCCACACACACGTCCTACTCCTTTATACCGCGATAATCAAGCAACCATTCATTTAGCCGCCAACCTGGTTTTCCACGAAAGAACTAAACACATTGAAGTGAATTCTCATTTCATAATATATCATATCCAATCAGACGCCGTCACTATGGCTCATGTTTCAACTCATCAGCAACAGGTTGACACCTTAACCAAATCTTTAGGAGCTAAGACATTCCATGACTTCTTGTCCAAGTTGAAAGTTCATAAACCTCACTCTCCTACTTGAGGGGGAGTATTAGAGCTAGGGTTTAGGATAGTCACCTTTATAAATTATTATCTTTCATCCACCTCTATCTATTAATTTGTTGCTAATTCTTAGGTCCACAATATCATATATATAAACATCTCAATTGTAACCTTTTGTTTCAATAAAAAATACAGATTAATGAAATTCCATAGTTAACTTTCAATTAAAAACTAATCGAACTTAATTAAAATGGTTTTGAACCAAACCCTATTTAACATATGGTTTACTAACTAGGACCAAACTACAATTAACCAAAACTATAAGAACCGAACTGTCAACTAGCCATGTTCATTTATTTTAAAGTTGACAACCTAAGAACTAAATTGAACAATTAACACCCTCATGAATTGAAAACCTTTTAATCACTAAATTTCTAAATTAATTTTTATTTTAAAAATAATAAAAAATACAATATTGTAATGTTTAGATCCTATTTTCTTGTTCGAATTGCACTTGATGGAAAATACGTTATACATTAAAGATCTCAATCATGATAGTGATCCCATCATCTTCACTGTATCAAGATCTTCCTTAATTGCATATCATATATATTCTATAAAAAGAAGCTACAGTTGCAATATATACCAAAGGTTATTGCGTTAAGAAAAATAGAAATCGGTAACTAGATAAATTTTGAACTGGTTTACCAAGAAAAGTTACAGATCGGTTCCATTCGGTTCGAATCACTAACAGTTCGGTTTGGTTTTCTCGAACCATAAACACAATTTGGTTTAGTTCGGTTTTCCAGTAGTAGCATCTTTCTCTACTCACAAGTTTGGATTCATGATTTTCCCTCTAAAAATAACCAACCTCAGTAGAATTGTCCCACCAACTGTTTGCGGAAATGCCAAACAGAAATCCCACCGTCGTGTACCCACCATCCACACCGAGAAGATCACAGAGGCTCATTATCCTCCACGAGAACCACAACCCCACCACTCCCAATCCTAAATCCACAAAAAAGCCTTCTATCCAATCAAGAACCCCTTCCGTTAGGGCAACGAAACCACCCAAAGTTCCCTCTCTCAGACGATCTGCTAGAGTTCCCAATCATAAAACTCGAAATGAGGAGAAAATCGATGTTCAACTGAGTGAATTTCGTTCGGGTGATTCGACGAGAGTTAAGCGAGGAAAAAGGAAGGCAAGTAGTGATGATGAGGGAATTGGGGCTGAAGTTGGTGGAAAAGGGAATAGAAAGCACGGTGTGGATGAAAGGGAACAAGTTGAAGGTGGAGTGAAAGGGAAAAGAAAGCTAGGTGGCGGTGAGATTGCTGAAGGGTGGAGTAAGGAACAAGAATTGACTCTGCAAACAGCCTACTTTACTGCAAAACCTAGTCCCAATTTCTGGAAGAATGTTTCTAGACTGGTATGCTTTCCCTCTTTATCTCTATGTAAAGATTGCACTTTTAGCATAAGAATTGATCTTTAGTAACAGCAAAATTAACTATCCCTGTATGAATATACAAGCTGAATGAAGTTTCCTAGGTTCAAACTAGTTAGTGTGTTTCGAAAGGTCTTGTTAGGAGTGTAAAAACCTGGATGATGTCTAAATCTCATAGCGGATTAGTCTCCAATTGTGAGGTTTGGAATTTATGGATGATTCACCATTTTCCCAAACAAAAGAACTCAAAGATGGTGACGTTGGGTTATCACTACTTTATCTTATGCCTTAGTTTTGATGTTAAAACAATTACATTGCTAGAAATGTCACTTGAAAACAGTGCAACAGCTGCAATGCTGCACACAATGATGAAGAAGGCATTGCAGCAGGGCTTATAGCCGTAGTAGAGCCGCACTGTATGCCGTAGCTGCAGAACTATTGAATCTAATTACAATGCATAATCCATGTATGTTATAGACGCTAGTCGATGCATAATGTGTAGTGCAGATAAGGACTGTAGTTTTCTAGGGCAAACATGTATGGATTTTGGCTTGAAGTAGTAGCTGCCATATGTTTGGGATGTAAACTATTTTTAGTATGGTGTTATTGTAAAATAGTTCTCTTTCACTGTATATTTGCTAAATCTTTCACATCTCTCTATTATGTTCTTTAGAATTGTTTATCTATGATGTGATATCATGAATTCCATAAACAAGTGATCGCATTTGCATTATTCAGGCATCAAGCTTGCATGTAACCATTCACACATCTTAATTTAATAGCTTTTGCTTGTGCCTTTGTGATAACTGGTTCATATTGTTATGTGTAACCATGACAAAGAAAAATGTAAAATTATAATTTGTTCATGGTTAATTGATTGGCAGATAAGTGTACATGTGCTGAATTATTTTTTGGTAACTGGAATTGCTGTATAAAATCTGTTGCAGGTACCTGGGAAGTCTAAACAAGATTGTTTCAATAGGGTTCACCATGACTTCCAAACACCACCTCAATGTCCGCCTAGATCAAGAGCAAAGACAATTAACAATTCGCCTCTTCATCAATTCTCAATATCTGCAAGTAAACTTCTCAGACCTACTGAAAAGAAGGTAGCTAAATCAAATATTCTCAAACCAAAAAGCATTGTTACCCAGAAGTCAATTGAGAATCTGTTACAGCGCCATCTTAAAGTGGATCAAGTCCATAAAGGAGACATATTTTCTGCTCTTGAACCCAACATTGATTTTTCTACTAATGATTTTCAGTACAGTCAAGCACTTTGTACTCCAAAGCAGCAAAAGGAAAATCAAGGGTTTTTACAAAATTTCACAGATCTATCATCATCATTTTCAAATCACAAGAAGTCTCTTTCTGGATTTAGTGGCTCATCAGGTGTTCAAGATCTTGCTAGTCCACCTGTGCTAAAGAAAGTAAAGAACAAGATACAGCATGAAAAATTCGTCAATCAATTAAGATTTAGGGAACTTAAGAGCAGAGCAGCATCTAAACGGAAAAAAACTTCCATAGTCGGAGAAGGAAACAACATTCAGAAAAAGGATGTTGTTAAAGCTGCAAAAGTTGCACTGATGTCTGAAGCCAGAGATGCTATCAACAAGTTTCAACAATCACAGGTCAATATCATGAACAACACTTGTAGTTCTGATGAGGACAATGATGGTGACATTGGAGTTGAATGTGATAGTCAATAGGTTTTCTCAAGCTAATTGACTGAAACTAGTTAAATAATTGCATGTATAGTTGTTTCACATAAAGTTTTAGACATTGTATCTTAGTCAAAATCTAGTTTTTCAAAAAGTGTAAGTTTTGTAGCAATTACTTTTAGTTGATAAATAAGAGCAATGTGCTTTTTCCTTGCTCCAAACTTCCTTTGTAAAATGGCAACCATAATCTTCCTAGATGTAATGCACTTAGATTAGGTGTTAAAGCAACAATTGTTATTGTTGTGACTAGGGAAATCTCTTAATCTGTTTGTGAACTGTGGTTCAACCGAGCCACTGAACACTTTTGTTGACAGTAGTATTGTTGTTGCAATAATAGATGTTGTTTAGAAAGTCTATTGGTGTGTATACCAATATTGTTAGTTTGGTGCAATAGTTGATGTTTTCTTTATGCTGTTGTTGTGAGAAGGCTTTCTATCCTCTGAATGCTTTATGTCCTCTTACATAATGGAGCCAACATTCTTGCAGTGTGTTGGAACTTCCGAGTGAAGCTTATCATAGTCCTTCACACTTTACCAGCACAACAAAGATTAGTCATTACATTGATTGGTTAAAGTGAAATCATAGAAGGCAGGTACTGATTTTTAATTTTCAAACATCAAAGGAACCAAACCAATAGTGAGAAGAACCAAGGTATTAAAACATGTATCCGGACATGATCTGGGTATAGTTTGTGATTCTATGCAATACGGAGGAATGCGAACACAACTGCGATTTAATTGTTCCTCAGAGGTATAGTTTGTTTGGGCTACCTGCCACTATTTGTTGCTATCTGTAGTTTGTTTAAACACTGCTTTCAGTCACGAGTTCATATGCTTCTGAATTAGGGAATGCTGAAACAATAATTGTTATGACTTATGATCATGACTCATGATTGAAATAAATATTGCTGTTTTTTTCAGTGTTGAAATGTGAATCATCTTGTGGTAGGTAGAGCATTAATTAGTATTTGAAAAAGAATTATCTTATTATGGCAAAGCACTACTATTTCATTGTGCTTAGGTTGGTTACATTTTGAGGAATAAGCACAGCCAATTGATAATTGTTTTGGCAATAAACCATGTACTAATCTTGATGATGACGAGGACTTTGTAAATTGGAAGAGTTTTAGAACACCTTAGTTTGATTGTATGCCTCATTAGTTTGATTTTAGTCACTTTTGGTGTAAAAAATAGTTTGATTGAATTTGTTATTAAATTTAGAAAATAAGTAAGAAATGATTTGATTTTGAATTGAATCTCTTTGTGATTTTGATTGTCAATGTAAATAAGAAATGGTCTGAAATTAAGTTTAAACAAATTTGTTGGAGTGACCTTTTATTATGAGTAGTTCAATTCAGTCAGTTTCTCATTGAATTATACCATGTAATTAGTGAACTTTGAAATATAGTAGATCAGAGTAGGTAATATTTGCTCACTTAGCATAAGGCTAGTATTACTGATGATAAAATATGCGACGTGTTTATGTAAAAGTGATGGATCTGGCCAATAATTGATTTGATAACAAGTAATGGTTCTCAATTTGCCCAATTCTAGAGGTTAGTCCGGTTTTAACTTGTCATTCTCAAGTTGAATTTGACACCTCTCAAACTCAATGAAAAGATGATAATATCTCTGGTAAAGTTTTCCATTATTTTTATAATTTATTTTCATTAAACGGAAATTTCAAAATCTTTAGTGCAATATCGGCAATTTTGAGGAGCTACTGGAAAATTCTGTAAAAAGTGAGTAATTTATCAGAAATATTGGAATTGTCGAAAGCTTCTTTTGGAAATTCTGAAAGTTATTATCGAAAATTATGAAAAAATTGAAATTTTTTATCAGAAATTTTGAAAAATTCTGAATTTCTTTTAATCCAATTGTATTGGAATTTTCAATATTTTCGATAGTTCAAAAAAATTAAAATTTTTCAGAAATTTCAAAATTTCCGATAGTACTAGATTAGGAACTTGGAAATTGGCCTTCGTTCACAGTTTTATTTTATTTTATTATTTTGCAGTGAGGACCAGGAGAAAGGGCAAGACCATTGTCGGTAGGATCATCGATAGAGTGGCAGTCTGGGCTAGGGTTGATGCGGCAGAGGCTTCCCAGTTATGGGCTGGACGAGTAACTCCAACCGATTTTCACTGGAAATGGTTGGCTGAGCAGTCCCAGACCCAGTTATGCGCACCCCGACACCGAACATGTAGAGGTTGAAACTCTAAACCTATGATCTGAAATCTCAACATAATGAGATAAAAATATCTTTTGGTCGGAGCATTACTATATTAGAACACTGATTCAAAGACAACATCCTTTATTCACAATTGGTTGACATCATATCTCAAACATGATTGAATTTTATTTATCACGAAGTCAAACAAGCAGAGAAAATAGGATCAGATGGTTCAAAGTGTGGTCGTACACTTAGAAAGATGTACGATATTCCATGCGCTTGTTTAATTGCAAAGAAAATGAAGGTCAATGCACTTATACATATGAATGAGATTTATACTCACTAAAATAGGATTTGGTTTGATGATGATGGTGTGATGACAGATGATAAATCAAATATATCTTGCATGATCGAGTGGAAAGTGATCCAAGAGAGATTCATGAAAGCTGATGACAACATGAAATTGCACATCAAAGAGCAATTGAGGAAGATTATTTATCCTAAAACCACAAATTTGAAACTACCATCGGAACTGATTAAAACGAATGGTGCTCATAAAAGGTCAAATCTACTAAGAGTGATAATTCTACAAAGTAGTCTTTATCTTACTTTGAACATGTTGTCTCATATTTTCTAGATTCTCCAACTTTTAAATCTAAAAAAATTGTTTTCAATGGTGCTCACATTAGCAAACCATCTTCTTCACCATTGTTACTAAAACTCATCCACATTGAAGACATGTCGCTTTTTATGTACAAATAAATTGAGCGAATTGTAAATGTTAAAGGTGACAACAACAATTTTTTTCGAGTTGTTTCAGGTTTGCTCGGTAAAAGAGAGGAAGACCACCAATTTGTTCGCCATCAACTTACACAAATGTTGATGACACATAGGGAATTATGCACATTGTTATACGGGGGAAAATTTACGACGCAATTCTCAATACTCTCGTTTCTTGTGTTAGGGATCTGACACCATTTAAAAAATGGACGCGCTTCCCTGAAATAGGACATTTTATAGCAAGTGCTTATGATAGGGTGTGTATTGATCTAGTAAGTGCATCATGTGTATTGGTTAACTTTCAAAAACACAAATTTTGTTTATGTTTATTTGAAACTGAGGTGTCATATACCAAAGACATCAATGAAGTGGAAGACACGTTTCATAAAAGGGGCTGAAACTTGACCGGATCAGATTCTGAAAAGGATAAAGAGTTCATTAAATTGAGCGAGATTAAAAGATAATTAAATAGGGAAAAGTCAAAGGCAACACCATCCTTAGAAATATATTTAGGTGATGACACTTGTTTTGATGCTTTTATTTTATGTAACAATGTTTTTAGATGGTGACTTATTTTTTATATGTATTGTTGACTCAAATTGATATATATGTAATGTATATTCAATATTAATTGTATAACAATTGATCAATTTTACGAAAATTTACTTTTCATACTCTTAAAATTTTTATCCATAAAACAGACATTGGATGAAAAACATGGCGGTTCAAGAGACGCACTTCTAGAATAACCCCATTTTTACTCAACAGTGGATATTTTGGAGATACATCTTCGTATAAACCCTTATTTTGAAAACTAAATTGGGTGAACTTGGAGATGTATATCTGAAATATTGTTTGAGACAAGATAAGATTTCTAAGGTCCATAATAAACTAAAACTTGTATAAATATGTGGTCTCTTATATCATGTTGTTCACAAAAATAAACCACACCCGAATGAACTTATATTGGTATGTCACATTTATATACTTCAACGGTGTAGAGTCCTCAATTGAATGTAAGTGTAATGAGTACACCTCTTTCGTAATCTGAAATTCATATAAGAGAATCTTCTACAATATTCAGACAATCGAAGAATTATGAAACTCGAGTACCATTTATCTTCGATTGACAGTGAACGGAAAATTCAATTCAACAACTTTGAGTTGAAGACTGATGCAAATTTAAGGGTTATGTGAAATACATTTTATCATTACGAAACAAAATATTTGATTTCAATCGAGCCGAATGCGAAGATTGTAAGATCGACCAAAGATATTCTTGAGATGTTGCAAAATTCCCGCTTATACATAATGTTATAATTATCTATGTTATGTTATGTATTTATGTTACGATTATTTATGTAACGTGACATATTTGATATATATATATATATATATATATATATATATATATATATATATATATATATATATATATATATATATATATATATATATATATATATATATATATATATATATATATATATATATATATATATATATTCTTCAATTTTTTGTATCCATCTATTACTAGTTTCTGGTTTAAATTTACAAAATGCATTGTGGAGATCTATTTTTGTTACAGCGATGCATCTTTGGATAAACTCTAATATAATCACAGAGATGCATCTCTGAATATATTTTTTTAGCAACATTGAGTGGCTCAATCACAAAGTGTTGAGATGTGTTTATTTTGAGTGTGTCTAGAAATACATCTTTAAAAACTTTTATAACTTTTAAGCGTGGTGTCCTACCACCCTTAAGTGTGGGAAAGTAATACCCTACAAATATACATATGGTGAGAGGATGATTTCTAAATATGATATAGAAGACTTTAAGATTTAAAGACACTCAACAGAAGAATTAACATTTACCTTCATCAATAGACTCTCTGATGCCATGTAATAAATCGTTATTCCAAAAGTGTAAGTTGTTGGATAAGAGGAAAGAAATTCTATCCTACTTTTGTATTACCATAAACATTCTTTGACAGGTCATATATAAACGTATTCCCTATGTCCATGTATCTTACTAAATCATCTTTGACTAGTTAGAACCTGTATCCATTTCATGTCTTTTGCCTTGTCCATAATGTATGTGCATATCTTGAATAACTTATGTGATACACTTATCATAACATATTTGGCTTTTAAAAAATTACAAAATTAACTCTATTAATATATTGGTAATAGTGTAGAGAATAAAAAGTAATGGTTTAATTAGAAAAATAATAATCATTATTATATTGAAAAATGAAAACGATAATCATTTTAAAACAAAATTTATTTATTAAAACAAGAGTCATTTTAAAACGGAGGGAGGAACATTTTTAACAGCATATATTAAAGTCTGTACAAATCAGTTTGATTTTCAATTTTTTTTAAGAAACTACATTTGGACTTTTGACATTATATTTGCTCATATATTGTAACAAAGTTGGAATATGTTGAAGTTTGTTTTCCCCTTCTACATATTTTGAATGTCATCTATTGTAACAAAGTTGGTCTATATGTTGAAGCATATGCATATTCAGGAATCTATTAAAATCACTTTGATTCCACTTAGGTTAGGCAACAACTTTGCATTATCAATTTGCAACTAAAAAGGTAGAATTTTATCACAAAGGGAAAGTGAAACTAGCTCTAAAGATACCCTAGTGTATGTTAAATACAGGGTATAAGCCTAAGAGAGTGTGATAGCATCAACAAAAGCAATTTATTTGGAATATCATTACAACTTTTAACACCCTAATTACTTGAATTACATAAGAGGAAAATTTTGCTTTTTTCACCATCTGCAAATTGTTATGTCAGCTTTCCTTCATTTTCCTAGAGACACCTCCCACCATAACCTGCATTCCTGAACAGTGACTGCTTTACCTCTTCAGGGTTCATACAATTTCGCTGTCCAGCTACCTAAATTCATGAAAACAATGTAAGAAACATGTTTTCCTTCATGCATGTATATAATTATTGAGGCCACTAGTGTATTTTTGGTTACGGATCTTGAATGAATTGATTCTTAAAAATTTATAACTAGTAATATTGAATTGAATGTAACAAAAAAGACGCAAAATCAGAGACAGTGATGCAAACATATGCACTGAAACAATTCACTAACCTCTGAGCAAGATGCTTGCAATGAAAAATCATTGAAACTGCTTATGACACATTGGTGAATCTCGAGGCCTAATGCTTCTAATGTGTTCACTGTTGACAATAATAAACCTGGCTTTGTGGCACAGCAGATGCTAATCCTTGTGTCTTGATCTCTCTTCTCAACATTAAACTAAAACAAACAGGAAAATAGAAAACAATACATTAATAACAAGATTTACATTTACTCATGAATTTATTCTATATGATTATTACGCAATAGTTGGAAGATTTGACAAAACCATCATACCTTAGGGGAATTTCTTACCATGACTTCATTTGGCTTCAACTCCTTAGAAACTCCCAAAAGGTTTATCTGATCTGTTCCTTCATCCATTTCTTCTTGTAACTTACCAATCCTTTCAAGAAGCTCTTTCATGTAATCAATTGTGTCTCCGAGAATCGATGTTCTGTCCATCTAAATTTACATTTCAAATCACAAATTCAAGAGTCAGTCAAAGATTTTTATAAATTTAGATAGAACACGAACACGAACACAAACACAAGTCAAACACCAACACAGACACCAAACACGACACAGATAATGACATATAAACATATGTGTTGATGTTGGGTCGAACGCATTGTCAAAAACCAGACATGCAGTCGATTCTATTCTACAAAGCATACATATACATAAGACATTACATCAATTGAATCATCACCTTACTGATCTTAGGGACAATTGACCTAAGCATGGAAAGCCTATCATTCAACCGCTTTCTCCTCCTTCTTTCCGCCATAAGATTCTTCGAAGGCTGTCCTTCAACCCTTTTCGATTTACCTTTCTTCTGACCATTACCACCACACAAACCCATGTTAAAAACAGGAATCTCACTCACTTGTTCCTCAACTTTACAGCTAATTTTAGTACTCTCTTCCAAACCCTTATCCTCACTTCCAACAAAACCAAACTCTTCAACACCCTCTTGTGGTAAAAGTGGAGTTGAATCATCAAGCTCTGGAACAGTGAACCCATCAACAAAAGGGTATGAAACAGCATCAGTTCCATAAGAGCATTCAAATCTATGGTCTAGTGGAGTTGAAAACGAAGCAAATGAAGGGTTTAGAGATGGGTTGAGGAGTAGATTTTCATCAAATGAGTCCAAGTTCCAACCATTGGGAAGAAGTAGGTCGTTTAAACCGGTGGATAAAGTACTCCATGTGTCTTTTCTTGGAGCTAATAGTTCCTCAAGGAAACCAAGCTGAGAAAGCTCCATGTTTTTTTCTCTCTTTTGAGAGGTATGAGTAAAGTAAAGAAAAACCAAGGAGAAGAGTACAGTGAGATGAAGTAGAAGAAAACAAGACGAGTTTCAAGTTGGTTTAAATAGAGAAGCTCTATTTTGGACCATCTTTCATATATATATTTAGTATTTTTAATTTTTAATTTAAGGATGGCATACCGGACCTGACCATTTGGATATGTCTATTTTACTCGTATTTTAGTATAGGGCAGATCAAAAATTTAAACTCTTATCTTTTAATGTGACCGTTCTGTTTTGCTATGTTGTTTTTGTGAGTTTTTGCAGATACAACTATTAATATAAAATTTTATAATTTTAGACTTAAAAAGTATAGTGCGCGCAAGTTTTTTCTGCTTCACATTCACTTTTTTGCGAGACGGACTTAGATTTTAACCCCTCATTCTCAACTATGTCTGCTTCACTCCACCCCACCCCATTTTTTGTGAACTTTAACGGAGCAGATCTAAACAGAACGGACATTAGGGATGCTCATGGACGGCTTTTTTACGTAACTAATCCATATCCAATTTATAATCATTCAATATAATAGTATATCATAACCAATCCATATAAATAATTATATTTTTACATAAACGATTATAAAATCGATTTATAACCAAATTTTATAACCGCTTTTAAATTTCATAACCGATTTTAAAATTTATAACCACTTTTAATTTAAAACTAGTTTCAAACATAAAAAAAATACTTTTTTTAATTTAGAAATTATTTTTTTACAATTAGTTTTAAATTTGTATTTATTTTTGGAAAAAATTGATTTTTTGACTATTTCAGAAAAATTAATTTTTTTTGTTTTTTTGAAAAAAAATCGATTTTTCATAATTTTGAAAAACTATATTTTTTGTATTTTCGAAAACAAGCAAATTTTTTAAAAAATTCTATTTTTTATATTTTCGAAAAAATTTGATTTTTTGTATTTATGAAAAAATTCAACTTTTTTTTTTTCGAAAAAATTTAATTTTTTGTATTTTTTTAGAAAAAACTCTATTTTTTTTTTGTATTTTCGGAAAAAATTAGACTTTTCATAATTTTGAAAAAACTTGATTTTTTATATTTTCGAAAAATTCAATTTTTTGTATTTTCGAAAAAATTCGATTTTTTGTATTTTAAAAAAAATGATTTTTCATAATTTTGAAAATAACTCGATTTTTTGTATTTTTGGGAAAAGTCGTTTTTTTATTATTTTGAAAAAAAACTCGACTTTTGTATTTTCGAAAAAACCCGTTTCTTTGTATTTTCGAAAATTTTCATAATTTCGCAAAAATTGAGTTTTGTATTTTTGGATAAACTCAATTTTTTGTATTTCCAGGAAAAAAAAATCGATTTTTCATAATTTCGAAAAAAAATAGATTTGTCATAATTTTTGTAAAACTCGATTTTTGTATTTTCGAAAAAAATCGGTTTCTCATAAGTTCAAATAAACTCATTTTTTTGTATTTTCGAAAAAAAAAACTCGATTTTTTTAATTTTAAAAAAAATCTATTTGTCATAATTTAAAAAAAAACTTGATTTTTTGTATTTTGAAAAAAAAATTGATATTTCATATTTCCGAAAAAACTCAATTTTTTGTATTTTTGAAAAAAAATTCGATATTTTATATTTTTGAAAAAAATTGATTTTTAATAATTTCGAAAAAAACTGATTTTTTTGTGGCACACTTATTTTTTTTGAAAATTTTCAAAAAATGTTACTTTAATTTTTATTTTGGATATGGATGTCTAAAATATAGATTTGATTAAAATCATATTAATAAAATATCCAAAATATAGATTTGATTAAATATATATTAATAATTAATTGGTTTTTCATCACCAAATTTAAATATAAATATGAATAATTTATATAACTGATTAATTTAAATACTCTGACGGACATGCTCGTTTATCATCCATATTTTAATCAATGTGATCTCACACCACATCACTAACCTTGATTCATTCTAGAATTTTATTTTAGATTTCTCATCAATTTTAAATATAACTCGCCCATTGTTGTTGGAGAGTTTGAAGCAAGTGTCAATAAAATAACGTTCAAGAATCATACATTTTAATTGTTTTCTAGTAAATATTTGAAATTCATCTCTAAAATTATATATTTGTTCAATCACGTCTTTCATTTTAAAAACGTTGTCTAAATTTGTGTATTTTAAAGTTAAATTTGCCCATACTTAGATTCAAGAGGACTAAAATATTATTAAGTTGGTAATAGTTATGATGTATCCGAAATTAAGTGAATAATATCAAAGATTCATTTGGAAGAAAAAAAATTAAGCAAAGATAAACTTGATTATTCCTATTTTGTAAGTTTAGAGATTGTTCTAAAACTTTGATAATGTAGAATACTAAGTTGATATAATCTTACAATTTTTATGGGCAAGCCTTTAAATGGGATTGGGTCTCTCTAAATAGCTTTACCTTTTCAATAAGTTTTAATCAAAATCAATTTAACATAATCAATTCACTTTAAATTAATTTATTTCATCTATTTCTTCATGAACAAACATGAATGATTAAATTATTTTAGAATGTAATATTATAGTTAAAAAGGTGTATTTAAGTAGCACCTAGATGTAGCCACAGATTAAAATGGAATCTCTTTCTCTCTCTCACACACAATTTGTTACTCTTTTTCTCACTCTCAAGGTGAATTAATGTCCTTTTCACCAAAATAATAACCCAGACAGAATTTGTATTTAATTCCAATTCCTTGAAAACTTTGACCCACATTTCTGTCTTTAACGAAATTGGGTGGAATTAGCATCATAGACTGTCAGGTACTTCTTCCATTTTTTAATGCAAATAAACCTCTTTCATTTTCTCAATCAAATAATTCATCTCTCTATACACATTTGTCAATATTTTTTCATTATTGTAACAAACTTTTCTAATATAATTATGTACTTACAAACATGACAATTTAGAAAACTGTTTAGTTTCATTTAACAACCCTTTTAATGCTCTTTTTAATTAAACTACTTAACATGTTAATTATAGTTTAACTTCTTGCCAGCCTGTTGTATCTTCTATTGCAAACAATTGTCTCTAGTTTGTTTGAAAATCTACTCCATTAAAAGTGGTCCAGTTTTTCAACAGATTAATGCTTCTTAAGGAAACTAATTTGTATTTTAAGTCCTTGTTTTGTGTTGCTTTCGTTTTTTCTATATATTTTAAGATCATTCATTTGGAAAGATGTTTGATAACAGAAATGATTGGTTTTTCTTCTTGTTCTTCTACTATGTTTAGTACTTTCTTTAATGAGCTAAAATTTATCCTAGTAGTTTTGTTATATGTGTCACAAGTATCAACAACTAGTCAATCTTTCATAACCCAATCACCTCACAATTCTGCATGTTTAACAAAATCACAATTACTATGTAATTTTCTTAAAACTTTAGAATGTTGTTTTTGTCAAAACCATATTTGACATTTTGTGGTTTTATTAAATTTACAGTCAAAATTATTACAGTATTCTTAATTTTTTTTGAAAATTTAAATTAATCATGATTTAATTATAAACAATTATGATAAATATTTTATAAAATTCTATTTCACAACAATTTAATATTTCAAATTTATAAAATCAATTTTATATATTCTCAAAAACAGTATAGAAAATCATATAAACGACTGTACTTTTACACTAGTTGTACAAGTGTATAATTTTTTTTTTTTAAATTATACACAAATATCTAAATGCTGAAATTTGATTAGGTATATTTGTGTAAAGCTATTGTATATGTCAATACATATAAATTAAATGATTAAATATTTTTACATTATATAGTGTGAAAATGTTACAATTAAATCCTAAAAATACTATTACAATTAAACTATAAATTTAATAAATTTTACGGCCCACATCTAATTAAGTTTTGAATTTGTTTATAAACATATTTAAATATAAACAATTCTATATTCAATTTATTTTTAAATAATTTTTTTTAATAAATTTATTTTATTTTTTGATTTAATAACTTAATAATCAAAACTCCATCCCTTAAAAATTAATTAGTGATCGCACTTTTGCAATATAACGTGTTTATAAGAATTTTTTTTTGAATAACCAAGTATTAAAAAAAATTCGCAAAATAACCGCGTTTCGGAAAAAATTACGCAAATAACTATATTTCAGATGACTCCTCAAAGGAGGAGCCATCTCACTTGGCGCCTACACCCATTATTTAAGGGGAGGCGCCATCTCACTTGGTGCCTATGTGTTTAGGGCATTGCCCTAAGCCAAGTGAGATGGCGCCTAAGTGCAATTCTAGGACAAATTTCACTTCTTTTTTTTTTGGTCCGGTGCGTTGCGTATTGGATACAGGATCAACAAAATTGACTTTTTATTAAAAAAAATAATTACATCCAAATTTATTACATTAAAAAAACAGATAAAAAAACAGATAAATCAGTGATCCCCCGGAACCCGGTAATGACCCCCGGTTCCGCATCCCCGTCCTCGCCTTTCCCGTGCTGGGTGTCATCGTGTTTCCTGCTGTGGCAGGGTCGATGGCCCAGCAAAGTCAATGCGTTCCAGATCCATGAAATCAGTCAGATCTCCATATCTAGAAGATCCGCTTTGGTATAGTCGGTTACCCATACCCTCAAAGTTTGGTCGTGTTGGCGGTGGGTGGGGTTCCATGGTGGGTCTGTAGCATTGATCGTCTGAGTACGGGGGGTAGAAAGGAAATGGATCTTGGGGAGTTTGGTATTGAGGATGTTGGGTGGTTTGGTGATACTGTGGTTGATGGTAGGCTGGGTCGGTTTGTTCGTAATCTTCCGACATTCCCAGATCAGGGCTAACGTTGGATGTTGAGGGGCCCATATTGGGATATACAGAAGACTGAAATTGTGTGTGGGGTATGCGGGTGTGTTGGTATTGTGATTGGTATTGTGGTTGGGTGTGAGGCATATGGGGGTATTGGTACTGAGGTGGTGATTGTGGTTGGTTGTGGGGCA